GATCCCACCCCTGGGGGTTTCTGAGACTGTAACTCTTTACAGGAGTAGAAAGCCTCATCTTTCTCCCACGACTGTCCACGGGACACCCGACTTTGACCCTCATCCACAGTGCAGGGCCAGTCCACTGACTACCAGGTGTGTGTGTGTGTGTGGGGGGGGCTGGTTAAGCATGTTCCTTCCCTGCTTCCATGGACACACAGTGTGCAAAGCTGGGCGCCGCTCTGCTGTCTAGGAACTCACAGCCCATGCTGCCCTCCGATAGGAGCCTTACTTTTCAGGGATTTCTCACTGGCCAAGCCCCCCACCACCCCTCCGCACACACCGCCCACCCTCCCCGGCTCACCCGAGAGGGCAGTAGTTGGTACACTCACCTGTTTCCGGATGTCCTCCTTTGTGGTCTTCCTGATAGGCTGGGTGGGTACATGCACAGGGCTTTGCGACTGGGACTCATCTGTGACGCCATACACGGACTGGAGGAGAAGCCAGAGCAGAGAACGATACATCCTTGGGACGGGAGGGCGCCTCAGGAGCCAGCTAGTTCATTCATGCTTCAACCCCTCCCGGACCCCCCAGACCAGAGGTGCTGGCCTCTGCCTGACTTCTCCAGTGATGGGGGGACTCTGCTTCCTGAGGCGGCTCATCCCTTGCCTGGGTGCCCACTGCTAGAATAGCTTTCCTTTTATTGAGCTGCCAACTGTCTCCTAGCCAGTCCGAGTTGCCCAGGAGTGGTCCATAGACCATCAGCCAAGAATCTGGAGACACTTCTAAAGATGCCGATGGCTCCTGCGCGCCCCCCCCGCCCCCCCCCCCCCCGCCATCTGCATCCATATTTGGGGGAGTGAGCCTTCATCAAATGCCCCAGGTGACCTTGAGGCACCAGAGAGTTCAAGAACTACTACTGAAGGTGATGCCCATCAGATCCTCTCCAGGGGGGTGAGAGACGCTGCCCAACTCGAAGACCACAGTCGGTGTGAAGGGAAGTGCATGCAGAGTGTGGAATTGGTACAGGTTCTGCGGGATCTATTCGCAACAATGACATAAAACAAACTTATTATTATTGAAAAAGATCCCCTTTAGGTTTTCTGTTGGTCCTCAGATAACACGTCCTACTGCTTATCCCACCGAGATGGCGGGGTCTCGATATTGGCTTTTCCAGCTGAATGTTCTCCTGGCCCCCCTTCCTCCCAAAGCTGCGGCTACTTCTCGAGCGTCTTTTGTGAGAGAACCCCACTAAAAGTCCTCTTTGCTTTTGGTTGGGGTGGGGTGGGGAAGGCTGAATCAGGGTGTGCGAAACGTAGGTGGAATCTGTAAAATCGAGAGGTTTCAGATAGGATGGATGGGAGCTTGGTGAGATTCTGGAACAGTAGAATTGTTCTTGTGGTTATTTGCTACCAAGTCCATTCCAGCTCAGGGGACCCCACGTGTCCTGTGTAGGACGGTGCTCGCAAAGCTGTGAGCTTGCCGAAACTGATGGTCAGGTCTGCCTTTTGAGGGACCACTGGGGGTGTCCAAACCTCCAACCTTGTAGCTAGCACTTAATCGCTATTAAAGATGAAGTGAGGACGTTTTAAGACGGATATTATAAAATCCCGCCACTTGCCTGTCAGTTGGTCCTACAGGAACGAGATCAAATGATATACAGAGCACTGAAGAAATCCGCTGTAGAAGAGCTCTTTAAGGGTTGAAAAGCAAGGAGGAGACTTTGAGGACTAAGCCAGGGTATTTCCAACAGCCTCATAGGCCTGTGGAAGTCGGACGCTGCACCAGGAAGGCGGAAGAAGCATGGGTGCATTTGAATGGTGGTGCTGGTGGAGACTGTGGACAGTGCCATGCATTGCCCAAACAGCAAACAAGCCTGTCACGGGAGAAGTGTGGCCAGAGGCTCCCGGGAGGGAGACTTTGTCTCACGTTCTTTGGCCATGCTGTCAGGAGAGACCAGTCCCTGGGGAAGGCTATCATGCTTGGTAAGGTGGAGGGGCAGTGAAATAAGAAAGTCCTTTGAGCTGGATGGGCACAGTGGCTGTCTCCATGGGCTCAAGCATAATAACGATTGTGAGGATGGTGCCGGGGCTCGGCAGCGTTTTGCTCTGTTGTTACGTAGGGTCCCTGTGAGTTGGCACCAACTGGATGCCACCTAACAACAACAACAGCATTGTAAAATGATACAGTATCTACTTACCCCAGTGAAGAGCCCTGCTTGTACACTCAAGAGGTTTATACAGGGGAGGCAGAATTGGAGCGTGAGAGAGTTAAGGTTTATTGTGCCAACCTGGCCCAGAAACACATGTGGGGTTCATTGAAGGGCGGAGGGATAAATGGCTTGGTGAGCCTCGCCTTTCTAGTTCTCGGGTCTCTTGCTCTCTGATGGTTGGACCAGAGTGCCGCTGCCTTAGCTAGTTCTTTGCCTCAGCTGGCAAGGCTCACTTCCTGTGAGACATCCCTGAGAAGAAGCCACATGGACCTACCCTGATGCAGCCCTGGGTGCTGGAGTACCTGTGTGGAGACCCCTGCCAGCGCTGAGATGCTTACACGTTCACTGACTCGGCTTTCCTCCTGTAGTCAGCATCATTGCGTGTGTTTTGTGAGATTGAGGAGGACTTTGTAGATCGGTGTTGGACATATGGGCTAATAATGTTGGACTTAGGGATTGGACAGCACTGGGTTGGGGTGCTTTCTTAATGTACATTTACCCTTTATATAAAACCTTCTCTTATACATAGGAGTTTCTGTGGATTTGTTTCTCTAGTCTACCCAGACTAGCACAGAGAGAAGGTAGAGAGATAGAAGGCAGGGGGATAGAGTGAGAACGCGAGAGGGCCACAGTGGGCCATTACGGGACACAGGGATGTTTTGGGATCCCAGCTGTGTTCCCCACTTTAAGGTCACTGGTGGCATGGAGAGGGTGGTGCACCCATGGGTATACCATGACCACTGCCCTGCCCAGTCAACTGGGACACAAGTGACCCTGGGTCACTCACACTTAGGAAAGATGATGGTTTTGGATGATCTGTCGTTGTCAGCTGCCACTGGGGTCATCTCCCGGCTCAAGGCAACCCATGTGCAACAGGAGCTGACCCTCATGATCTGAAGCGGGCAGTGGCTGATCTTCAGAAGCAGATCCCCAGGCCTTTCTTCCTAGTCTTAGCGTGGCAGCACCAGGGCAGTCTGCTCAGCACCCCAGCAACACACACGCCTCCATTGAGAGGGATGGTGGCTATGTGCTGGGTCTCTCCCCACGAAGGAGGGCATTCTAGTGTGGCGCTCCACTGTCCCCTGATGGCCCAGCCACGTGAAGTCTGTGGGTCCACCCCCTTCTTTGTCCTTTAGTTTCTGCTGCTCCTGACGCCTTCCCAGAGCCAACTGCTATGCAGGGGCTTCAACCAGTTCGTGGGAACATGCCGTTATCCTGCCCGTCCATTTTCCCACAAGCTTTTGGAAGAGCACCCTGGTATTTGTCCTTCAGGCCACAGAACACCCGAAGACACTGATGAGGCCCCCCACTGCCCCTCCTGGGTGCCCCTGTCATCTGTGCCCCCCAGCTCCCACTCACGGCAGCTGTGCCCTTTCCATCCTCCCAGACCGTGAGCTCCAGGAGGGTGCATCACGGGGCCCAGCAGCCAGCAGGGCGCCGGCACCATCATCCACGTTATCTAAAGAAGGAGTGGATGGTCCCAGTGGTGACGTGTGCCAGAACCACACACAGCACCCCAGCGGGTGAGCAGGGGCGTGCTCGTCACCCCAGCAAAGGTTTCGTTCAGCAAACCCAAGCGAACCTTTTTAACCTTCTGTGGGCTCTTCAGGCGCCGGCACTTTCGGATATCCATTTCGGTTGTGTTCACACAACCTGGCTGAGGAAAAAACCAAGCCAAAACAAGCCCATCAGATCAATGGCCAAGCGAAGATCATCCTTCCACGTTGGCCTCAAGAGCCCCAATCAGAGCGAGCCTCTGTCTTTCCCACCACGGGTGAGCCCTGGTTTTCTCTGGGCCACTTACACTTCCTTTTTGCAAGATGCTTCATCTCCAGGGTGTCCTTCTCCACAGGGCTCTCAGACAAACTGGAAAAGCTTGTCTCATCATACAGAATGAGGAGGATACGGGGAGGGCATAATGTACAGTTCTTGGCACACACTTAGTACTCAAGGAGACAAGATCGATGCAGCCGTGGCCAGTTCACCTAGGTAACTGCCGACAAAGACCTTGCTCCCAAGAAAGGGGCTGTTTAGTTGGTGGTTGGACTCGGCTCTTAGCCACCAGGGGTGGTTGAGCCTGTTCCAACTCATGGCGGCCCCACAGATGCCTGAGTAGAGCTCTGTTCCACTGGGGGAGAGAGGATGGTAAGGCTTTCTCCTGAGGCACCACAGGGTGAACTGGAACCAGCAACCTTTTGGTGACTAGAGGGTCAGTTAACCAACTGTACTACCCAAACCAACACCACCCAACTCACTGCCCCAGAGTTGATGCCCGACTCACAGGGACTCTGTAGGACAGAGCAGAACTGTCCCCGCAGGCATGCAAGGACGTAAATATTCACAGGGGCAGAGAGCCTCATCTGTCTCCAAAAGAGCAGCTGGTGGGTTCGAACTAAGAGCCATGTGGTTAGAAGCCCAACTTGTAGCCCACTATACCCCCAGGGCTGCCTATTATACCACCTACTCCGTTTTTAGGAAAGCTGAAGTCGTTGATTTATTTTCAGTTCCATCTTAGCCAGGAAAACATTACGCTTCGTTTTCCTAACCTAAACTTAGGAATTGTTTGAAAGAGATTAATTTAAACTACAGCATCTAAGGCAGTGGATGTAAAAAGAGGAGTTGATATCAAGGGCTCCAGTAGAAAGAACATGTTTTGAAAATGATGATGACAACATATGGACAAGTGTGCGTGATGGATTGTTGTAAGATCTGTAAGAGCACACACGCTCATGAAATGATTAATAATTAAAAAAAAGTGTTTATTTGGGGAATGGGAATTCCTGGGGCCTGAAGGCTGCTGCTGGAATTCCCATGAATGCTCCTCATTTCCAACCCTGTGTTGTCACGGATGGATTGTTCTAAAAGGTGGAAGGTCACATGTCCCAGGGAAACCCCCTGGGGGGGATGGGCCTACAGCACAGCCAAGGGGGCTCCACAGGAAAGGGCAGCACATTCCCCGAGGAAGGAGACATCCCGTGGGAAAGAGCGTTTCCTGAAAGAGGAGGAAACAGGCAATCTAGAGCCCAGGCAGGGCTTTCTCACCACAGGCCGATGGACATCCCAAAAGGCTCGCTCCTGACTGTCCAGGATCTTCCTCTCTGTCTTGTCCTTCTTCCGATCAATCCTGAACGAGGAAGGAAAGGAAGCCGGTGGCTCTTGCATTGTGTATTTCCACTGGGCCGTACCCCAACCTGCTCCCCTCCCACCCCCCTTCTTCCCCACCACCCATTTTAGGAGCTCAGTGGACCCAGGGCCAACAGGACCCTGCAGGCCCTGCCTCTGCGCCCAGCTCGTTGCTGCCTGTGTGAGTCGAATTGGTTCCGACTCCCGGCAACCCCGTAGGTCCCAGAGGTGAACAGAACCCAGCGGCTTTCTTCATCACCCTCTTTAAGGAAGCACATGACCAGGCCTTTCATCTGCAGCATGACGGGTGGGTCTGAACCGCCAACCTTTCCATAGTAGCCCAGAGCAAAACCGCGGCAACCACCCAGGGACCTGCTGTCTGGAAAACGCGGGCTGCCGACTTCCTCCAGGAGACTCCTCAGAGCCCCTCTTTGCTTTAGGCTCCATGTACACTTCACCAAATATATGATGGCCGTGTGGGCTTGCAACTATCCGTTTGAGTTAGTTTATGGTGCCAACCTGGCCAATACACACACGTGAGGTTAACTGAATGGCAGAGGGATAAATGGCTCCGTGAGCCTTGCCTTTCAAGTTCTTGGGTCTCTTGCTTTGTGATGGCCGGACCAAGGTGCAATTGTCTTAGCCAGTTCTCTGCTTCAGCTGGCAAGGCTGACTTCCTGCAAGACATCCCTGAGGAGAAGCCACATGGACCTACCCTGATGCAGCCCTGAGTGCTAGAAAAGCCATGTGGAGACCCCTGCCAGCGCTGAGATGCTTACACGTTCACTGACTCGACTTTCCTCCTGCAGTCGGCATCATAGTGTGTGTTTTGTGAGATGGAGGAGGACTTTGTGGATTGGTGTTGGACATATGGGTTAATGATGGATTTGTGGGCTTGGGCAGCACTGGGTTGGGATGTTTTCTTGATGTGCACTTACCCTTTCTATAAGACTCTCTCTTATACGTGAGTTTCCGTGGATTTGTTTCTCAGAAGTACCCAGCCTGACACACCATTTGAATGATTCTGGTTTGGAGTAAGACGAGCCAGGTCATCCGTGGAGACCGGACACGGAGATGACAGGGAGGAACAGAGCCAGGGGGTTGCCCACATCCCCTCTCCGAGGTCAGCAGGAATGGCCACCTAGTGCTCACTGTAACTGTGTGTCCAGAAAAGAACTGAAGCCACCCGCTTTCTCAAAAGCAGGGTGATGGCCCTGGTGTGTGACCCGATCCAGGCTGGGGGAGGGGGCACACGTTGCCAGAGAGATCTTGCTGGAGACAGGGTCTTGATCAGCCGCAGGGGCAAGAGGCTTTCAAGACGTGCGTTACTCCATGTGGTCTCTCTAAGTGTCACTTGGATTCATTGCCACGTGACTTCTTGGGAGCGCTTTAGGGTACTGAGCTGAAATAAGCGCATCTTCACCTTGTGACTTTTGTGGGTGCAACAATTAACATGTACTTCGATGGTTCCACAAGTATAATGTAATCACAGAGTTCACCCAAAAAGTTAATGGAGAAAGGCAGCCATGAACAAAGCCACAACTCCCCCTCTTTTGGTAACCTGCTGCTGTTTGACCTGTAAAGTCTGAACAGATACTCTTCTTCCCAGTGACTTCTGGGTACACAGGCACCATTGAGCCTCAAGTACACGCCAGGCTTCTCCTGTCCCAACTCAGCACTCAGTCCCTGGTGCCCACCTCCCTCAGGGGGCTGCTGGGAACACCCAGCTAGTCAGCAGGTGGTTGGCATCGTGGGCAGGGGAAAGACTCAACCTCAATGGGTCTCACAGCCCTCAAGCCGATGCCAACTCAGAGCAACCCTATAGGACAGGATAGAACTGCCCCTGTGGGTTTCTGAGATGGCAACTCTTTAGGGGTGTAGAACGCTTCATCTTTCTCCCTTGGAGCGGCTGGTGGTTTCAAACTGCTGACCTTGAAGTTAGCAGCCTGGTGCGTAAATCAATAGGCTACCAGAGTTCCTGACAGGCGACAGACAGAGGCATGCAAAGAGATGTGACAGTGATTGGCAGCGTGCAGGCCACTGGAGCAAATGGCCCTGTGGGTCATTTTCACCTGGGTTCCTCATCTACAACTCCGGGACCAAACTCTTGTACTGGGCTGCACTACCTCCCACTGAGGATCAGCCAGGGCTGGGAGCAGGAGTCTGTGCACATGCAAGTGGTATCCCAGGGAACAGGGACTTGCATGCTCTCAGCTCCCACTGCCTGACTAACTCATCCTGCCGGCCGAGGGAGATTGCCCAAGGAGTCCCATTTCCAGATGGAAAAGCAGCTGGCGGGCACCCACACCGCTGGGGTGAGGGAGGCCTTTATTCCCTATGCCCCAGTCTGCCTGTGTGTCTTTCCTCAGAGTTCACGCCTTCAAGCAGAAGGAGCTTCTCCTAAACTCCCCCGGGAGGAAAAAGACAATATGGGAAGAAGGAAAAGTGACCTTATTGGTAGATCTTCAAGACTAAATGGAGGCTGCCCTGGGTTAGTCTTTTCCGGGCCCCTGTCTGGACCAGCCTGCCCTTGGGCCAGCTGCTCTCGTCACACAGTGATCTCTTAGCCCTGATTGCTGGGGGATAAGAGGGGTGGAGACTGTAGACACCCAGCTTTGCTCACGATGGACAAGTTCAATTCAAGGGGAAGAGCCGTGGCCCAAATCAGAAGTCATGGCCGATGGCATCATGATCTGATATTTATGAATTCATCTGCCAGGCTTCCAAATCTTTTTTTGGACTGGTTCCAGACCCCTGCCCTGGGGAGAAAAGGGCGATGGGATGACCTCCTTAAAATTCCAACATGGTCACCTATGAAGAATGAGCCCCGACTACCAGGAAGGTCTTTCAGCCTCTGTGTGCAGGATAGCTGAAACTCTTTATGGAAACAGTGCAGCGTGACCCGGACTCTGGCGTCCGAGAGGATCCCCCGCTGCCCGTCCAAGTCCACTCTGGTGAAATGTTGAGGGGCAAGAGTTACAAAGATAAAACATCCATCCTGGTCTTTATTTCCTCTCTGTAGTTCTTAGGAGTGATAAACGGCAGGCGGAGTGGGGAAGGACCACCTCCCTTGGGCAACCTCACTCAGCCCACCATCTCCAAATCCCACGCTTATTTGTTCCCCTCCCCGTCTCTGCCAAGTTCACCTACTTCACTTGTGCTTCGGCTTGCATAAAGATGAATTCCCATTTCCTTGCAAAGGCCCGCTGGAGTCTGGCTAAGTTTTCCTAATGAGAAACGAGAATCAAGAAGAAGGCATTAATCATAGTTAAGTTAGCACGCCGATGCCGACGCCTATTACAAGGCAGTCATCTATTTTTGTTACACCCAACAACACAGAAGTGGCCCACTCTGAATCCACAGGATGCCAACCCGCTTTAGCTCGCCCCCTATCCGGCTGTACAGAGGTGAACTGTGAAAATCGAAGCACACACTGATCAGACCGCCAGTCTCTAGCACGCTCACCCTATTCCTTTCTTCGGGTCTAGTTTACAAAACCACAGCTCCCACAGCACTGTTGGTAAAGACCCCTGAAAAACAAGGGGTTAGCTTGTGATGATTTGATGCAGGTTTTTTGGGGAAGGGACTCTTGTCTCTGTGGGCAACTCAGAAAGCAAAACCAGCCAGGAAGGGATTTCTCAGGACTCAGCTCCCCGGAACCTTGGAGGCTCTCAAGAAGAAGAAGCTACAAGACCTGTCTTTAGCACCTTCTGAAAGTCTGGATTCGTAAACGGACAAATGGGACAGTCAGTGTTGGCGGTGTGTATGGAAGGAAGCCCCTACCCTGGAGAGAAGCTATCCAGGGTTGGCTTTGGAGGAGAAAAGAGACGTATTTTCCCCTAGTCTGTAGATGTAGCTTGGGGAGCAGAAGGAGAGTGGCGGAGGGTGGGGTGAGGGGTACTTTGACAGGTTCCCTAATGACCCACCGAATTCTGATGGAATGCAAAGCCAGAGCCCACCGCCGGCCTGCCGTGTCTTTTCTCAGAGCTCATGCAGCACCTAACTGATCGCCCCCAGTAGTGAATTATTCATATAAAAGGAGCACCAGACATGGACTCACAATTAGTTCAAGGCTCGGATGGACAAGGACCTCTGAAAAAGGGTCCCTTTGAATCCTTCCCTCCTCCTAGAAGCAGAACTGTCCATGCCCAAGTCCACTGCGGAGTAGCTATATACATAATGATACAGTCATGCCATGGTTAACATGGTAATGTAGGTGATGATGATGATGATGGACATGGAAAGATGCCTATAGTATCATGGCTGCTCGGGGCCATCAAGCTGGCTCTAACTGATGGGAGTGCTACCTGCAACAGAAGGGACCACGGGCCCTGGGCCGCTCTCATCGGCCTTGCTGCGCTTGACCATGTCTCCAGCCTCGGGGTCAGTCTGTTCAGTCATGGCACTTCACCTTGTATCGCAGCTCCTCTTTTACCAAGCGCGGTATCCTTCTCCGGGATTCGTTCCTCCTGATTACGCATTCAAAGCCCACGAGACAAAGTCTCACCATCTCCGTAGCTAAGGAACAGTCTGGCCATCCGCTCCTTCCGAGAGATTTGATCATTCTCCTGGCAGCCTATGGCAGAGTCAGCGGTCTATGCCAGCACCATATGTCAAAGATATCAATTCCTCTTTGGTCTTCCCTAGGCATCGGACAGCTTTCAAATGCTTATGCGGCAATTAAAAATACCATGGCTTGGATCAGGCCTTAAAGTGACAACTTTGCTTTTAACATTTTAAAGAGATGGTGGGCAACAGGTTCGCTGAAATGCAATACATTGTTTGATTTCTTTGTTTCTTCACTGTTTGATTTCTTGACTGCTTTTTCCATCGGCGCTGAATGGGGAGCCAACTACAATGAAATCCCTGACAACTTCATTCTTTTTCCCCATGGATCACGATGCCTTCGGGCCTCTGACTTGGAAAAGCAGCAGCGTACGCGTAACATGTATGATCCGATTCCCTCTCTTTGGAAAGAACAAACATGTATGTGCAGAAGCAAGCATAAGGATTCCCTCATGGGAGGGAGGGAGGGGAGCTGTGGACTATTTGCTTTCCTTTCTTTGTGGTTTGAATTTTTTGTTTTTTATAAAGAGAAAAATTAAGAACAAATTTTTAATGAAGTAAATTCTTGCATTTCGAGAACATGCTCTGTAGTTTCTAAGCATGCACTGCAGAATTTTAGCATGCTCTGTCGAAATCTTAATGCTATCCTCTTCATCAATTTCAGAACACAGCATTATTTGGCTAGAGGACTGAGAGACTAAATAAACCCGCCAGGGGTTGGGACGGTCCTGTTTGAGTAGGGCCTACTCTAAAACAGGAAACACAGGGGGAAGCCTAGGATAGAGGGGCCTCAGGCTTTTGCAATCTATCTTTCCTGGTGGCAATGAAAGGGAAATGAGGTAGTCACTTTCGGTATCAGGTGCAAAAGGAGTATCAAAGTTTTTAAAGAACAGGTGCTTTGGGGGCATAAGGACATATGGGGCAAGGATGCTTAGAATCACAGAACCACCCTTACAGGGTTGGCTTGGGAAGATCATGGTATTCTCCAGTGTGTGTGTAAGGACTCTCATAGGTAAACATGGATTATTAGCTGGGTACTGGGGGTCTGGATGAATTCTGCACCCTCCTCCGGGGTGTCCCCTAGTCACCAGGTGCCTCAGTGATGCCTGTGGGATCAGGAAGGTGAGGAAGGTGAGGGCCCACACCTGCTTCCTGCTCTCAGGTGTAAAGAGCCAGTTGGATTGGTAGGTTTGGGCACAGGGACCCAAGTGTGGCACAGGTCTGGTAAAGTGAGGGCTTATGCTTGTTTTGGAAAGCCACGGAGCACAAACTCGAGGGCTATTTGGGAGGTGGGTGGATCTGAAGGCGCTGTTCATGCTAGCGCATCCACGGATCACTTTGGGGACTGACCCCAGCCATGGTCTTTTCATTGTCTCATATGTCTAAGACAGCTGGATAATGACAATGCATTGATGCATTTGTTCTGTGCGGGTGGCTAAGCATACCAATTACGGACTGTCCAAGGAAGGAACACATCCCGGTTAGAGGAAGGCCAACCAGCATGCTCCTCAGAAGGGCGGATGGTGAGACTTTCTTTTGGATAAGTCAACAAGAAAGGCCTATTGTTTGAAAGGACAACATTTGGGGAAATAAGAGGCGCATGAAATGAGAGAACTCCTTAATGAGATGAATTGATAGCTGCAATAAGTAGACCACAGATCACGAAGACCAGGCAACACTTCATTCTGTTATATGTAAAGTCACGCTGAGTCTGAGCCGACCCATTTAGGCCTAAACTCATTGCTTATGAGTCCATGCCAACTCATAGGAACCCTCTTGGATAGAGACCTGCTCCATAGGGGCCCTGGTGGCATAGTGGTTATGTGTTGGGCTGTGCACTGGGAGGTCAGCTGTTCGAAACCACTGGACTGTCTGAGGGATAATGAGAGGGCTTTCTACTGCAATCAAGAGTTACAGTCTGGGGCAGTTCTACCCTGTCCTGTACGGTCGCTATGGGTCCTAATTGACTGGATTACAATGACTTTGGTTTTTTAAGACCTGCCTGTTAGTTTTCAAAGGCTGTGGTCTTGATGGAAGCCACCTGCCAGACCCATCTCTCAAGGAGCGGCTGATGGGTTCAAACTGCAAGCTTCTCCACTGGCTGCACAGACTGAACCTCTGTGCAGCCAAGGCTCCTTGATGGCAGCGACCCAACAACAAGTCCAAGGAAGGAGCCTCCACTCTCTTGATTGTTGGTTCTCCCCCCGCAGCTGCCAGCCTCTCTGCCATTCCAGTGCCAGCAGCACTGCCCCTGGAGATGTGTGAGGAGCGGGACAAGGAAGCCCTATGTAAATGTAGCCAATTTCCACGATTCCCTGTGACCCAGGGAAATTCAGTCTAAAAGTTTAAAACATCTGAACAAAAATCCCTCTGTGAGTTTGAACGTGCTTTGGTGACTGGAGCTGTTTGATGAGAATGAATACGAGTGTGGGCTTCCAACTTGTGCAAGGCATTGCCTTCGCTGAAGGCAGTGGAAGCAGAGGATAAGAAAGCCGGGAAATGTGGTGACTCACATGACAGAGTTTACCTTCTGGATTAAATCCTCTCCCGACTTTATGGACAGCATTGTGCTCTCCCAAATGTTGCCGAACTCCTAATCCCTGTACCTGTGGCGGCAATCTTGTTTGGCAAGAGGATTTCCTGTACTATGTTAATTAGATCAGGACTGAGAAAAATGGGTTCTAAATCTAATCACTTTTGAGTTATAAACAGAGCAGCATAGATGCAAAGACACACACACACACACACACACACACAAATGGGAGCAAAAGCGATGTGAGAATCATCTACAAGTTAGGGGAGGTCATGGGACCAAGCGACACCCAGGGCCACTGAGAAGGAAAGAGTTGACATAACTGAGACCATGTCATTGATTAGTTGATTCAGACTTTTCACCTCCAGGAGTGTGAGAAATAAATTCCTGTCTTTAAAGCTGGCTACGTGTGGTATTTCTGCTAATAGCTAGCACTAGAGAAGGAAGACATATCGTGGGATTGTAAAGAGACTTTCCTCAGCTTTGTCTCCCCTAAAGGCATGCCAAACATTAGAGGCTGTTTGCCAGCGGGTGGTGGTGGGAGGTCAGATGTTTGAAGACATCCTCCCTAAAGGCAGTCAGTTGCCAGACTGCTGTCTGGTCCCGCCACAGGTAGGGCCTCCTCCCTGCTGTTAAGGACAATGGGCTACTTCTCCCTAAAGGTTTGTGACCAATAGTCTGGTCCCTGTAGGTGGGGTTTACACCCTACTGATAATGGTTTCTATGGAGATCCAGAGAACAGGTCAAACCTGCTAAGTGACATCCAAAGTTAGGCTGCCATCCTGAATCTAGATCCGCCCATCTCGTCACATGTGTGCCCCCAATCTTCCTCTTCCCATTGTGTGTGTATCCATAGATTGTCCCCCTCTCATTGCTGTATAACCTATAGTGCAACCCCTTCCTGTGACGTATGTCTTTACCTGTAATTAGTGGGCATGCACTCCCCCCAAAGGTATATAGGCCTGGGTTAGCAATAAAGAGCTCTCTCTTAGGCTCCCCTATTGGCTCCCCTCTCCTCTCCCATCCTTGCTCCCCTGTTCCCTTTCCCCTGTCCTCCTTCCCCTCCCCCTATCTCCACGTGGACCACTAAGTGAGGCTGAGGTGAGCATGCTACTATGAAATGTGTCTGACTCCATTATTTCAATCTCTCCTCCATCTCTCATGCTCTCTATGACTTTACTATAATCTTTATATATATTAACCGTGAAATTGCACCTATCGAACCCGAGATTAGTTGTGGGGGGGCTTGCCTTTCCCCTACAACATATCAGATTCCTTCTCTGCTGCCCAGGACAGGTGAGTGGGCATAACGATTTTATGTTTTATGCACAAAGTTTTACAATGATCACACAGTCAATTCGACTCTCCGGTGGTAAGGGTATACAGCTCTACGCATTGCAACATGAGTATTGACTTACAGCACCATCTCCACAATTGGGTTATGGTGAAGTCCTTACTCCCTGCAGACTCCTTTATTCCATCTTTTTATAGCCACATCCTCTCCCCACTCTCAATCACTGGTGACCACTGCCCTGTTTTCCATCATGATAAAACCCAAACCAAACTCACTGCCATTGAGTCAATGCTGACTTATAGAAACTCTACAGGGCAGGGTAGAAATGTCCCTGCGGGTTTCTGAGACGTTAACTTGTTTTTAAAACTAAAACAACCTTCAAATGGGTCAAAAATGAGATAAAATGATATTATATCTAACCTGACTATATCTGCCTTTTCAACTTTAAAATGCTCCCTGTCTGATAACAAGGCTAATTAGATCCCTTGACTACCATCAGAGCAGATTCTCTGGAGGCTTAATCGATGTGTGGACCCCGTAAATGAATTCTGGGCTTCCACTGTCATCCATGGCCTTCTACAAAGCCCAAGTGTCACAATTTAAGCTCTAATATCATCCCTGATTTAGATGGTTTTATTTACAACCTTGGAGCATATAGGCTAGGGTGCTTCTTCCATGTGGATTTCGTTGACACCCTGCTTAGATAGCTGATTGTTTGAATACAAGCCTTTAGGACCCAGACACTATTTTCTCTGATAGCCAGGCACCATCTAATTTCTTTGCTACACTTTGCTATAGCACCCATATCTTCAGTGATCTCTTCGTGAAAGTGAGCATCAAGCAGGGCCATTTCACAAGAAGTAATTGTTGTTAAATTGGGGCTAGAATTAAGTGTGAGCCCCAAATCCACTCATATATCATTAGTTTATATATTTCTCTGGTTGACCTTAGAAACATCATTGTCATTTTATGTTAAGGACATTATCGATCATCCTCCTGGGGCATAAGGCAATTGTATTGATAGTGTCATTTATTTAGCCAACAGTGTAGAATGTAAAACACAGTTGAGAAAAGGATGTTGAACAAATATAGGCTAACTATGAACCACAATGCATGAATTGTTGACTTACACAGATCCTAAACTCTTAGGTGACTGGACACGATTTATACTAACAAGGGGGGTTGGTGATAAGGCAAAACTTTAAAAAGTATTCATTGGCAATGGGCAGAACCATGCCTATACAATCAATACATTATAATAAATCAAGGAGGGCATTAAAATAGTAAGTATATGGTAGTATATAATAGTCCTGGCTCAACATTCACTGGGCACCCTTAAAGCAAGAGAGCCGAAGCCAAGTCCCACAGCTTCCAGTTCTACACCCTTAGGATGGAAGTCATGCTTCTTCTCACTCGGAGTGTCAGCCTGAAGTCCACGAGCTACAGGTGAGTTTGAGGTCAAGCCCAGTACACTTAGGGAGCTTTCTCCCACAGAATCTCTGGGGGTTCGCAGTCCAGCCCATAACAACTACACTACCAAGGCTCTTTCCATCATGGTGGTTTTGTCTTTTCAAGAATGCCATATAAATTACACAGTGTTATAACAGAATTGTATAGTGATAAGCTTTGGAGACTGGCTTCTTTCATGTTGTATAATGTCTCTAAGATTTAACCAAGCTGTTGCATGTACTCATGGTTGGTGGCTTTTCACTGCTGGATAGTAATCGATGGCATTAGCTGCACCAGGGCTTAACTAGTCTCTTGTTGAAAGGTATTTGTGCTGTTTCCAGCTTTGGCATATTAAGTTTCTATGGACATTTTTGTATAGATTTCCCCCCCTGCGGTCCCCGGGAACATAAGTTCTGATATCTCTAGAGTAGTGTTTCCCCAAAGTGGGCAATCTCTCCCCTGGTGGGTGGAGTGCTGGAATGATTCAGGAGAGCTGGAAAAGCAGACACCCACATTTATCCTGGATGAGGGACTATAGGACAAAAGGTTCTAATCGCCAGGGGGGGAGGGGAACTTAGTAATTTTTTTTTTTTTTTTGGAAAAAGGGCTGTTGGTCAAATAAGTTTGGGAACCTCTGATCTAGAACATGTAACCAGGAGTCAGGGTTCTGGATTAATGGTAAGCATTTGTTTCTGGTTATGAGAAGCTGCCAAACCATTTTCAGAATTTCCCATTGCCATTTGCTGGCAATGAACTTGGGAAGGAAAAACACATGTGTGTCCCACTGCCTCGTTAGCACTTAGCATTACCAGTATGTTTTATTTCAGCCATTCTAAGAGGCATGTGGAAGATTTCACCGTGGATCTATCCTGTGTTTCCCTAATGGCCAATGGTGTTGAATATCTTTTCATGCTTATTTGCTATCCTCGTGTCCTCTTTGGTGACGCGTTCATTTTAGAATTGAGTGGTTGGTTTTCTTATTCTTGAATTTGAGAACTCTATATAAAAAGATGCTATGTTATTGTGCTGCAAAGAGCTTAGAACGAAGGAAGAGATGCAGCAAAGACATCCCTTCTGTTGTCTTTGGAAAGATTTTGGAGAGTAAAGGAAGAATGTGAGTTTAAACAGAGCTACAGATAGCTACACCCACCTCGAATCTCTAGCCGGGATATCAATCATACTTACTGCTTCATAATCTGCCAGTTCCAGTCTTGCTTTATTTTGCATTGTCCTCTTACAGAGATAGATGGCTGAGGGAAGAAGAGAAATGACAAAGGATACAAAACAGTGGTTTAGCAAAATCATTAATCCACCCATTCATCCATTTACCATTCACTATCCACTATCTACCATCCATCCATCCATCCATCCATCCATCCATCCATCCATCCATCCATCCACTCATCTATCCACT